ATGTTTTATTTAGAGTCAGTGATAAGCTATTAAAACTGTTTTTACCTGCTGGGATGAAGGGGGAAGTTACTTTTTCTTTTTCCCTTTTTTTCATTTCTACACTCTCTCCCCCCTCCTTTTTTTCTGTTTGTATTTTTTGTAGTTTGTATTGACTTTTACTCTTTTCATTTATAATTCTTATTAAAATTAATTGAAAAAAATAAATTATATTGCGTTATGTGCATACTCAACAGCTATGCATTGTCATATACCAAGTGATTTTTGTGGAGTGAGGTTACAAAAGGAATCTGATTCCTGACTGATTTTCACCAGAAGTAATCAGTTCCCTGGAGGGCCAGTCATTTTTTCCCTCATATGTCTTACTCTGTATGAAACTTCTTATGGCACACGAGGAATTCTGAATCAGCAACTATATATTTTATTTGAAATGTAGGTTCCAGAGGGGGCACACAGGACATTCAAGAAAACTTTGCTATTGCAAACATGAAACCAGGTGTCAGTTAATTTTTTTTTTCAACAAGATGGTACTTTCAGTGATCTTAATCTTGTTTAAGAAAATTTTTAATTATCAATTGGTCATTGAAGAAAGATGCAAATGAAACTAGTGAAATATTCTCATTTCAGTGTCCTAACTGTAACATTCTAACATAATTAGCTACTTAATTTTTATCCTAGAACCAAATGAGAACATCAAATGATTTAAAGCTGTAATCTTGCACGCATATCTGGGAGAAAGCTTCTGTGTCAACCAACCTAAAATGAAAATTATACCTACCTACCTAGGAACAATCCCCATTTAAGTCATTGGAACTTACTTCAAAATAGATGCAAGAGAACTACACAACATTTGCTTTTATTGTCTTTAGTTACTACATTTTAAAGTAATGGTAAAAAAATTAATCATATTGAAAGGCATTAACAAACACAAATAAAACTTGATTGAAAACTATTTAACAACTTGAGTAAATCCCTGGTACTTCAGATTTACCCTACAGGTAAATGTTTTCTGAGGGAACCTTAGCAGTATGGTTGAGAAAGTTTTACATTTTAATAATGATTGCAACTGCGATGACTTGATTTTATAAATGGTCAACAGAAACAATAACAAAAGGTAAGGCATATCCTCCTCTGAATATATCTCGCCCAAAAACAAATTTTAAAATATTATTATTACTATTATTATATTACTCTGGGCTTTCCTTCATTGTTGTGCAGAACTGATTCCTGGAATTTCAACCTAATCCTGACATACTGTGAACATCCCAAGATGCAGTATGAAAAGCTTGAGCACACAAGATACCTAAACATGCCTGAATATCCACTGGAATCAGTGGAAATTAAATCAATCATTAATAACTTAAGTAATATTTAATCTCTAAGTGTGATTCAATTCATCATGCCAGATCAGACCTTTTATCAGTCAGGATCTAATAACTAAATTCAGCTGAACTGGTTTGCTCTTTCACAAGGTGCATTACTTGAAAGAAGTCCTAAGTCTGGATGACCAATACAAATGGTCCCACAGTTTGTGGACTTGGAAATCAGTCTGGTTTGTGATGAGCCTAACACATCTGACAAAACCTAACCCTTATTTCTTACAAGCAGTAAAAACATGCACAGTTGTTTATATAACTGCTTATGATATATGGTCAAAGGCAAGATTCACCAAAGTCAAGATTTTTCTATTTTTAAAATACATGTTTTGGAAATTAGTAATTTTTGTTTGTAAAGTTATACCATTTTTAAATCATCATACCGAGGTAGCAAATATTCTTTTATATTGGATAAATTAAGGGATGTCATATCTCCTAGTCTTATTGTTATTTAAAAGAAAAGAGTTAAACAGAAAAAGAACCAAACAAATGATTTCTGGGAACATTCTCTATAAATATTCTATATATGAATAATGAAATACAAAAAAGGGAATGCCTTGAATGAAGGTGAAGTGAATAAATACAATATCACATAAATGTAGCTTGGATGTTTGCATCTTCCTTATCTTCTGAAATGGCTGAAGAAGCATTTCCTAATAGAGAATTAATCAGCATTATGATTTGGACTTGTTGGATTTCCTGCTTCCTAACAGAGTCACTGTCCATTTTAGTTATCCTTATTTAAAACCATTGTTGATATAATAAACATTATGGTTTAAGGCTAGCAATTCATTAATTTTAATTTATATATATATATAATTGAATACAATTCCTCTTTCATTGAATAATCTTAAGCAAATATAAATGGATATCATGTATACCTCATGTCCATACCTAAACACTGAAAGTGTATATTACTTATTAGTGTCATTTTTCCCTATAAGCATTCACAGTATATGTATTTTTAATTTATTAATAAAAATGCAGAATATTGTATTATTAGGTTGCATGTCATACACAAACACACACACATGCAAATATCACATTTGATAATATAAAATATTTTAAAACTGTTTTAAAATAACAAGTGATAATTCTCTTTCTTACAACTTTCAAATACAAATTATCCAGAATTGCTAAGCCTTCCAATGCCTTTGCTATAAACTAAGAAACATGGTTACAAATGGGTCCATTAATATTGCTTTGCTGACAAAATTGCTATTAAGCAGGCATGGAATTTAGTAACATCATTTTACTGTCTGTACTTTATTTCAATAATCTGTAGCAATCAGTATGTTATGATTAGTATTATATTTCCAGTAGCTTCTATTGCCAGAAATTCACACCAACATTTTAGCTATGCTATTGCTAAGTCACACTTTTAATGACAAAGTAAGGCTTTAAAACTCTTTTTATTCTTGATCCATTCGCCTTAAGATGTTCTTTTAGTCTTCCTTACACTAGTGAAACTTCTTAAGTATAAGTTACACCCTATGAAGAAGCATGGGTGGCTTTCTTAGCCAAGGTAAACATTTTAATATTGTTCACTAGTACATTTGGTAATTTGACCGAAGACAGACAAAGGAAAAAAATAAGAAACATGTAGAAAAACTTATACCTAAAAGGGAGAAAACACCTTGGGAGAAGGCAAACCTAGTTTTATCATGGACATGAATGATAGGAACTTTGTCACTTTACAAATATAAACTGTACCCAGCATAGGAAATCTTTTAGCACCATGACAGCAGCTTTCTTATTACACTTTTTTGTATGGTATGTTTATGCTTTGGTCAAATCCATTTGTAGATAGAGAATAAACCAGCATCTTTGCCCCTCCCTCAGTGTCCATTGAATGTGAACACAGAGAGAGCATGAAAGAAAAAGAGAAATACACAACATCTGGTATATTAGCTTGCCTAAAGACTCCCTAAATTATAGCAGGAAAGGCCCAGGGAGGGTCGCTTTCTTGATGATTACACAGGTGAAAAGAAATACAAACTAATAAAATGAAGGTGAGGTGGGCAGCACATAGTGCCAGATTGTTCACAGAAAGGGAAGAAATGGAATAAAATGAATGGAAAAGCTGAAGAGGAGGAGGCAAGTGTTGGGGGGGGGGGGTATCCCAGAGCTGGTAGTGTATCCCAGAATGCAATTACTAAAAGTCAACAAGAGTGAGCCAGCTACAGCATGCAAAGACCGGTTGTTATGGAATTGGAATTTCCCTACATTTACTCACTGAGGGTTCTCCGCTTCAGTAGCTCTGAATACTTAAAGATACAGTGCCATCAAATGTTTAACACATCTTACTTTGCTCATTTATTAATTTTTGAAAATCAGTCAGAATGCGCTGTATGCTACGTTTATTATCTCTCTCAAAATCCTCACATTGTCTTCATGTGCACCTTCTGGAAACCTTAGCTTATCGTAGATTGGCCTCTGTTTGTTCTCTGATCCCCCTTATTTTCCTACAAAGATACTTTCCTTCACTCCATTTAAATTGTTAGTACTGGAAAGATTATGAATTATCTCTTATATTAGAAGAACTGCCTTCCATTGGCGTTGTGTTATATTTATTTAAAAAATAATCTTCTAGGGGAAATGCAAATGAAGAGGGAATCAAACAATGGTTTTGCAGATTTACTTCCACAGCATATGGTCCTTCCAGGACTGATTTTGCCTTACAATATATAAACTATTTTTCTCCTTGTTATCTCTATGGGGCTTTAAGGTTTCTCATCCATTTTCACATGATTGGATTGGACACAAGTTAGAATACTGTTCACAGATCTTAAAGAGCAATATTTTCTGTTGTACTTTAAGCACACTGAGATCTCACCCAGCTCAACTAAAACATTTGGACAAATGCTTTTTTAAGCATTTTGTCTCCATGAAAATGAATTGGCATAAGGGATCCCATTTACACAATATCACATCCCTGTCCTCTGCATTAATTAATCTGAAACACCAGACCTGTCTTAAGCATCAATAGCATGGATGAGCACATCAAAAGGCTGGGACACAAGTCCAGCCTTTTTTTATAATGCTCTTGACTGCATCAAAAATAAACGGATTTATGGATAGCACTTTTCCCAATAACTTCACCAAATATTGCAGAGTTTGGATCATATTACTTGAATCCCTGTAATCAAAACACGGACTTAGTGGATTGTTGTTCTCTCATTTATTATAAATAATATCAGCAACTTCAGTGGTAAGCTTCATTATTCATTATGATTAAATGGACTTCTTGTCTCCTAACACTCTATAACTATACCATTTACAGACCAAACATGAATTAATAGGTAGGGGAGTTTAGACATCCCTTCACATGCATGCTTATAGTGGAAAACTTCTGTTTTAGATTAGTGCCTATGAAAGGCAAGAGAACCAAAGAGAAAATGGAATGGGGGAAGCCTTTTTTTTCAACTGCAAACCCTATTGGAAGCATCAAGAAGAAGAAATGGGTTTTTTTTAATCCTTATTTATTTATTTATTTGTTCTCTCTCTGTCCTTTACCAGTGTGGTATAGCCCCAACTTGAGCGGCCACAATTCAGGACTTTCGCTGAAAGGCACTCGCAGGCGCACACAAACGGATAAACAGACAGAAAGCACACAGGCACACACACCTTGGCGCCGCAACCTCCTCTTCTTGAGCCCAAAGATGCGGACCTTGGAGAAGATATCCACCAGGTTGCCATTGCAAAGCCCGCGGTTCTTGCTGGGGCTGTTGCGCCTCCTGTTGGCCGAGGGTCGGTCCCAGTGCTGCAAGTCGCGCGCTTGGCGCTTCTGCCGGATCAAACCGCTGGCGATGGCCGCAGCCATGGCCGCTCCGTCCTGCGCGCCCGGCTCAAGCTCAGCGAAGAGGGCGCTGGGCTCGGCTCAGCCTAGGCGGGAACCCATCGCCGCACGGCCGAGGGCAAGGACGAAAAAGTCGCGAGGTCACCACATGAAGCCACTGGGCTTCGGACCGAACGAGGCGCGGCGACAAGCAGTTCGTCTAGATCGCGATCCTGCCTCCGCGGCGCTCGGCTCATGCCCGCTTCTCCATGGCGGCAACCGCGGCGGCCCCCTCTTGCCTTCTTACCACCGTGCACCCCCCCGCCCCCCCCCCCCCGCTGCCGCCGCCGCGCCCCCTCAGCGGAACCTCGGAAG